TAGAGAAGTTTAACATTCATGTGGAAATGCAGCTCTGAACCTCAAGATGGAAATTAGGACTGGAGTTAAAGATTTGGGAGACATGGCCTGCTCATAGTAGTAAGAGCCTGATCATGAATGAGGATTTTCTTCTATTTCCCCACCTCTCTGATAGCTGTTCCTTCTTAGTTTTCTCAGATGATACTTCATGCTCCCACCTCTAAATGTTAGTTCCTTTGTTCTTTCATTCAACAAATATTTATTAAATGCTTACTATCCTAAGGCACTGTTCAAGGTACTGATCATAACTTGGTAAACCAAACAGACCAAAACCAAAAATCTGCCTTCCCCCATGACACTTAACATTCTAGTGGGAGGAAGACAAAGAAATTAAGATATAAAACCTACTGCTTAGATGATGAAAAGTGCCATGGAGAAAAATGAAGCAGAGAAAAGGGATGATGAGAGCTGGAATTTTAAATAAGATGACCAAGGAAAGGCTCCGGGAAAATGACACATTTGATTAAAAAGCTAGATGCAAGTGAAGGAACAAGCTATGTGGCTATCTGAGTAAAAAGCATTCCACGCAGAAAGGACAGAAGGGCAATGTACCAGGCACAGCGGAGTACCTGGTGTGTTGGAGGAACAATAAGGAAACTAGTGTCCTAGAGCAGAGTAAGCGAATGGGCCAGTAGTCGGAGATTAGTCCACAGGCATTAACTGGGGGCCAGATTGTATAGGATCTTATAAGCCATGATAAGAATTTGGCTTCTGTTCTATGTGAGAAGGGAAACCACTAGAGGATTTTGAGCAGAGAGTAGCAAATTTTACTTTATATTTTAAAGGGACCAATCTTTAAAGGGAACTAATCATTTTGAGAATAGAATGTGGGAGAATAAGGGTGGAAGCAAGATCAGCTGGTAGGCTTAACAACAATCCAGGAAAGAGGCAATGACAGCTTGGACCAGGTGACAGCAGAGACATGTTGACAACTGGCAAGAGTCTGGATATATTTTGAGCTGGACCTGGCAGGATGTGATGAAAGATTGAATACAGGATGTGAGAGAAAGAAAGGAGGCAAAGATGATGCCACGACTTTTATCTGATAACTAGAAGGAGGTTTACTTTACATAAATGGGGAAGACTACAGAAGGAGCAGGTTTGGGATGGTGGCAGTGAATATCGGGGGTCAGTTTTGAGTGTATTAAACATTGAAGAAGAGATGTCAAGAATATATAGTTGGATATGCAAGTCTACAGTTCAAGAGAAGGTCTGAGAATAGTTGGGAGGGTTCAGGAAGGCATAAGCCCTTTGAATGACACCCATTCTCAGTGGTATCATCAGCCACTGTACATATGGGGTGTGGGAGGTTTGTACTTCTATCTGGGAGTATGCTGATTGCGCCTTGTTCTATAGATGTGTGTTAGTATCTTTCCATCAATACATAACTGTCTATAGGTGGTACCCATACAAACATTTAAATTCTTTCCTTTTCAGCTCCCTTTCTATCTTCTAACATCATACAACCACTAAGCTTTCTGTAACCCATATTATATGTTACCCCCTGCTCCCAGGATAAATCTTGCCATTGTCTTATTAATCAAGAACCAAGTCTCCTTCCTTTGGTACTCACCACAAGAACACAGTGTTTTTTTTAATTGAGATATAATTGAAATACAACATTATATTAGTTTCAGGTATGCAACATAATGATTCAATATGTGTACATATTGCAAAATGATCATCACAAGTCTAGTTTACATTTATCACAAGTCTTAATACTGGATATTTTGTATATGAGTAAGCCAGCCATAATGGTTCAAATATGTCTGCAAATAATGGGAATTAACAACACAAGTAGGTTTATGGGAATGTTGTCCAAAGAAGGCTTATAGTCTTGTCCTATGGCAAGTGCTCAATTAAATCTGATTGATCAATCAGTTGGGCTCGACCAGCATATCATAAAAATCTTTATAGATTTGTAGGATCCTTGAGGAAAGAAGAATCCTCTAGTATCTCAGCCATCACTCCCTGTGATTCCAGCTTCTCAGGGAAAGTCTCTTCACCCAGGCTCATGGCAAAGCTTTCTCCTTTGTCTGTCACTAAATTTTTGTTTGGTTGCTTTGTTTTCTCTCCCAGTACTGCCTGTCTTGTAGGATACGAACTAACCTCTGTCTGACACGGTAATGTCCAAAAGTCTTTGAAAGCTATCCCTAACACAGAGCCAGAGCAAGCTCAGGCAACTTTCTCTGAGGCAAAGGGCCCGGCTGACTTCTCTGACACCAGTCTTTAAGGATCAGAAATTTTTCTCTAAACCATTGGTGACTTTGGCACTTGTGAACTCATTTGATCATTTTTTATTTCTGTGCTTTGCGAGTACTGCCACCCCCCAAGAAAGTTGTGCTTTTTGGTTAACCTGATTTTGCCTACCAAGCATTAAAAAGTAGGTCTTAGTTTGCTGAAGTCTGTGTTCTTTTATAATTTTCTAAAATTCTATTACATTTCTTTCTAAATCTTTTTAGTCTTCTCTCATATGGCAGCCTCCCAGTTTATTAACACTGTTTTTCAAAAACAACCCAAATTTTAAGTGTTATGCTTATTTTGTATGAAAAAAACCAGCCAAGCTCTTTTGGCCTCTGACAGGAGACTGAGCTTTCTCAGTCTATTTCATTTCTAATCTTTTTTCTCTTGATGGCCAGCATCTTATTGGCCTTTAGAATTGCAGAGTACACCAACTTTCTTGGAATAACACATGATTCTCATGTTACTTTCTTGCATTATAATGGAAAAAGTAAGGTAATAGGTAATATATTTGGATCAATTTTCAAATGCCTATGCTGAAGTCCACTGGCCAAATCTCTGGCACTCTAGATTATGTATGCATGTATTGAACTTTTCTATTTTTATATAGAGTTGCAGAAGGTTGCAAAGAAATGTGCAGGAAGGTCCCACATACCCTCTTTTGAGCCCCCCCCTCCTCAATGTTAACATCTTACAACTATAGCACAATATCCATGAAGTTTATTTAGACTTCACCAGTTTTACATATATTGTGTGTGTGTGTGTGTGTGTGTGTGTGTGTGTAGCTGAATGCACTTTTGCACATGTATAGCTTTGCATAAGCACACTACAGTCAAGTTTCTTAACTACCATCCCACAAGACTCTCTGGTATTATCCCTTTACAGTTACACCCATCCTCCAGCCCTTACCCCTGGTACCCACTGATCTGTTCTCCAGCTCCATAGTTACATATTTCACAATTGTTATATAAACAAAGTCACACAGTACATATCCTTTTGAGATTGGCTTTGATTACTCAGTATAATTTCCTTGAGGTTCGTCCAAGTTGTGGCATGTAGCAAGAGGTCATTCCTTTTTATTGCTAAATAGCATTCCATGGTATGGGTGTCCCACAGTTTTTAAACAACTCACTCTTTGAAGGACATATGCATAGTTTCCAATCTGGGGTTATTATGAAGAAAGTTTCTATGAACACCCAAGTACAAGTTCCTGAGTGAAAACAAGTCTTCATTATTCTGGAATAGATGCCAAACATGGAACTGCTAAGTCATATGGCAAGTCTGTTGTTAGTTTTGAAAGGGAAGCCAAACTGTTTTCCAGAGTCAGATTACTTACTTTTGGAATGTAATGATGACTCAATCCCTAGAAAGATATTCCACTGTTTACCGCCTTCTGATAAGAGAACTATCCTTCTCAGAATCCCATGGAGTCAGACAGACCTGGATTCAAATCCTGCTTCAATCATTTATTAGCTTCAACAATATACTTAAATTTTTTGAGTATCAGATTCCCTATTTGAAAAATAGGGATATTAATGCCTGAGATCATAAGGATTTGACAAGATCAACATGTAAAATACTGAGAGTAGAGCATACGGTACACATTAGTGAGTTCATGCCAGCTCTCTTCCCACTCCATGGCAAAATAATGATCAAACATTACTCCCAACACCCAACATTTTTGGAATTTGAAATTTTAAAAATCCAAGAACACATAATACTGGCTCCTTTTGTACCTACTCTTTTTTTATTAAACGGATTGTCTTTAGTAGATTCCTTATGCATAATTTTTCTTTGGCAAAGCCATTTTCCCTTTCTTCCTATCAATTATATTTGCTGAAGTGATCCTTACAACTCTTGGCAGCAAAAATGAGTAGGTATATCTCCACTATGCTCTGTGGTTTTTTCCTCTCTTCTAGGTCAGTGAACAATTTCCTGATGACTGGTCCAAAGGTAAGAGGAAAAAATTTCCTTTATTTATTGGATTTCATTAATCTTAGCTTCTTGACTGAAGGCTATGTATGTCAATTTATTTTCATTATATCCACATCTTTTATTATGCTATATATATTACACAGACATAAAAATGTGGCCCAGAGAGGGTTAGGAACACCCCCAAAGCTACAACAGCAAACTAGTGTCAGAGCCAAGACAAGAACTCAGTAGTATTGAATCTGTATTTATGGCCAGAATTTCAAGAGCTAGAAAAGTCAACAGCCTTTCAGGGGTCATGCATCTTTCTCAGTGCAGTGGTGGGATGTTAGTTTTCCATCTTTAAAATTCTGGCGCTGTCCTTGGATGATCTCTAAGGACATTTCCAGCTCTGAACTGTTCTTTTCTAAGAGTAATGGAATAAGAACAGCTGAAAAGTCACGAATTATATAATTTGGGCTCAATTTGGAGAGGCAGCATAGCATGGTGAATAAAGGCTCTGAGGTCTAGTCTCTGATAAAACCAAATTTCCTTCCTACTTCCACATTTGCTAGCTGTGGAACCTGGGGCAAACTGCTTTAACTCTGAGCCTCAGGTAACTAATCTATAAAATGCTACCTGTTTCACAAGGTCATCTGTGATGTGAAATGAGACTGCATATTTTGCTCTGGCATTATTTTGGAGGGGTGGGAGAGTGGGAAGGCAGGGAGGTGCTTGACTAACTTAGGACAAATGTCCCCCAAGCTCGGCTGCTGTGAGCCTGCATTTTGATGGTTGTGTTCCGGCAGGCTTACCTCATCTACTCCAGCAGTGTGGCAGCTGGGGCCCAGAGTGGTATTGAGGAATGCAAATACCAATTTGCCTGGGACCGCTGGAACTGCCCTGAGAGAGCCCTGCAGCTGTCCAGCCATGGTGGCCTGCGCAGTGGTAAGGAAAGGCTCGACCACAGCTCTCGGCCCCTGGCCACAGGTTAGAGCCCCCCTCTCCAGGGATGGCCCCCTGCCTCCTTTACACGCTTGTTCCTCACCTGGTCTCTACTCTCAGCTCACCTCCCTCTCTGGAATCTTCTCTGTGCCTTCTTCAGCAACTCTTTCCTACCTATAGAGCTTTTCTCTTTCTTCCCTCACACCCTCACTGCTCAAACGAAGGGACCCTGCCTCCCCACCCCCCAATCTGTTCTGTCATTGCCTCCCAGTTGGCTAAAGGCTTCCTCACAATAACAATAACACCAGGAGGTAGGCAGGGGTCATAATTCCTCATGCCTCTTAGCCCTTTCCTTCGGCGGGCTCAGCAGAGAGGTACAGAGCAAGTGAGAGCCGATTTGGTGAGGAGATTTCCATGGAGAAGACAAAGAGTGGCTATGGGAAGAGCTGCCAGCCAGAGGCGCTTCTCAGGACTAGCTGGTGCAGGCCTCTGAGAAGTCAACATTCCGGGAGGAAGTGCAGATGGGTTCTTCTCAACCTGGCTTTCAGATTCACTCCTCCCCATTTCTTCCTCGGGCTCTTTGTCACCTAAATCCTTTACAAACATGTACAGTCAGCAGTAATCTAGCCACCTAGTCACACTAAAATGTGTGATCTGATAAGACAGGAGAGAAGAGTAGGGCTGAGGCCAGGGCTGGAGCAGAGCCCGGAAGAGAATAAGGTACCTTACAAAGGTGGGGAAATAGAATGGAGCTGTGGAGGGAGGGCATAGTGAGGGTACTAAGGGCAGGCAGCATAACTGGTATTTTCTTTGGTTTGCAAGCCCTAACCTCTAACTCACCCATTTTCGGTTCCCGCCAGCAAATCGGGAGACAGCATTTGTACATGCCATCAGCTCGGCGGGCGTCATGTACACTCTGACCAGAAACTGCAGCCTCGGGGATTTTGACAACTGTGGCTGTGATGACTCCCGCAATGGGCAACTGGGTGAGTAGTGATTTGGGGATGGGTAGGGCAGGCCAGTAAGTTCACTTAAAGAATCTAAAGCTTGGAAGGTGGCTCTGTGGGGTGAAGAAGAGTGGTAATTTTTTAAGACTGAGGAAAATCAGAGCAAATCAGTTTAAGCCCAAACCCTACAGTGACAAACCAGGCTAAGTATTGCTTGGGACCCTACTTCTCCCCTGAGTGATGATGATAAAGGAACACCACTCCCCGTGGCTACAGTCCTGGTACTCTCACCTGGGGGTGGGGGGTGGAAGGAGGATGCCCTCTCTTGCGCCTATCGCTGTCTGCTTTCCACTCTACCTCCACCGTCCTCTCTAATGCCCTCTGCCCTCCAGCTCAACCTCCAACCATGTTCCACATCATTTCAGTTGTGCGCCTATATCCCCCTCAATGCTCATGCTTTCTTCACCAATTTCGTGCCATTTGAAACTATCCGGGTGTCATTCGCTGACTGGGCACACGCACGCTCTGCCCACGGGCCAGAAACACTCTACGTAGAACTGCGTACCGGCACCCCGCAGAGAATCCGATCCGCAACTCCTCAGCCCTGGAGGCCTGATCAGGGGATTGGCTGAGGCTGAAGTGGGAGCGCAAGGTTGGCAAGGACAAATGTAGGCTGAAACTAATCGCAGACAGGGCACTTGACCAGCCTTAATCCTCCGCTGTCCCAGACTCCCCCAAACTCAATTAGAAGCAGCACCCCAGGAGGCTCCGCACCGGCCTGCTCAGCCACCTTCCCCCCTTCACTTTTCCAGGGGGCCAAGGCTGGCTGTGGGGAGGTTGCAGTGACAACGTGGGCTTCGGAGAAGCAATATCCAAGCAGTTCGTCGATGCCCTGGAGACAGGACAGGATGCCCGGGCAGCCATGAATCTGCATAACAACGAGGCCGGTCGCAAGGTGAGTGCTGCGGCCCCTGGGGTTGGCAGCTGGCCCCATCCGCTACCAGCCCTGAGTGCAGACCGCTGTGCAGTTCATTTAGCGGACTGGAAAAATGAGGTACCTACCGAGCCGACTGGCCACGGCAGACGCCTCGCAACGGCCCCGGGGGCAGGGACTCCCCACGAGCATGATGCCTGGCCCGCTCACTCCTAGCTCTCTCCCTAGGCCGTGAAGGGCACCATGAAACGCACGTGTAAGTGCCACGGCGTGTCTGGCAGCTGCACCACGCAGACCTGCTGGCTGCAGCTGCCCGAGTTCCGCGAGGTGGGCGCGCACCTTAAGGAGAAGTACCACGCAGCTCTCAAGGTGGACCTGCTGCAGGGCGCTGGCAACAGCGCGGCCGGCCGCGGCGCCATTGCCGACACTTTCCGCTCTATCTCCACGCGGGAGCTGGTGCACTTGGAGGACTCCCCGGACTACTGCCTGGAGAACAAAACGCTAGGACTGCTGGGCACTGAAGGCCGGGAGTGCCTGCGGCGCGGGCGGGCCCTGGGCCGCTGGGAGCGCCGCAGCTGCCGCCGGCTCTGCGGGGACTGCGGGCTGGCGGTGGAGGAGCGCCGCGCCGAGACCGTGTCCAGCTGCAATTGCAAGTTCCACTGGTGCTGCGCTGTCCGCTGCGAGCAGTGCCGCCGGCGGGTCACCAAGTACTTCTGTAGCCGCGCGGAGCGGCCGCGGGGGGGCGCGGCGCACACGCCCGGGAGAAAACCCTAAGCGTCTCCTCGCTGCCCCCCTTTCACCTTTGTCTTCGGCTTCTTTTAGAGACCCCGGTAATAGAGGTCCCTAGGGAATGGGGCCTCCGCACTCCAAGCCCAGGGATCCTGGGAGCGAGAGACACTGCAGCCTCTCTGGAGCTTGCCACTCCCCAGCCTGCGTCCCCAGTTCCTCTATGCTCTCCTCCAGCTGTCTGAATCGTCCTCAGAGCCCACACTTTGGTCTGAGAACTCCCTTCTGAGATTTTGAGCTACTGATCTCCCTGGGACTAGGATGAGAATAGGCGTTCCTCCTCCCCTTCCTAGCTGCCCTAATGCCGGACCCGGCCTGTGCAAGAACGCTTCTTAGATGTGCAGGACTGGCGTAAAGGCACCACTTCTCTTTTTTGCCCATTGTCTTGCCTCCCGACAGCCCCCATCTTGTGCTGCTAGGAATCTACCACGCCACACCTTCCCTCTGCAGAGCCCCTCAGGTGCTTCTGATTCCCTGCTCACTTTTGGCAGAATCCCCACGACTCTCTAATGCTTTCCCTTCCATTCTTCCTTTTCCTCTTTCCCAGTTAAAGAGAAACTGAGAAATCAGACCCAGGAAAAAGCATGTCTTCAGGGGTTGGTTCCTAGAGGTGGGGATAAAGACGGAGGAGGAGAAACCCTGGAGAGCTGATTTGCTGAACACCAAGGGTGCCACTCATTTTTGTGATGCCACAACTCTAGTGGACTTTACCAGTGGGGCAATGACCTTCTTAGACAATCACCTAAGGTGCTCCTGACACCCACCCACAATGTCTAGGAACTATGTAAGAGCAGATTACCAGTCATTTTCTATTCTTTATAGTAACCTTCTCCTTGCTCCTAACCTGTTTCCTCCTAGCAACCAAGTTTACCTCTTCTTCCTCAAAGGATCCTTGTTCTTCTGAACCAAGGCTGAGCTAAATAAAGCCAATTTCCCCTTCAGAACCTGGTTTGCCCCTCTAATGGCAAGTTATAAGGAAGGAGAAGCTGGGACCCTTCCTCTTCACTAACCTGGTTCTCAAACAGGCAGGATTCATGGCTTTGGATGCTTTCCTTCAATAAGTAAAAACTTCCTGCAATGAAGCTGTTGTTAATAGGAAGTTCAGCACCTTGAACTTTAATTTATTGCAGTCACTGTGCTGTGTGCTTTTCCTTCCAGGTATTGAACTTACTCTTGGGGACAAAGGGAAGGTGGGTAGAAGATGTAACCTCTAGCCCTCTCCTCCCGCCCACCTTGTCGGACACCATCCTCCTGAGAGCCTCACTTCCCCGCTGGCCTAAGTAGTTATCCTGGCCTGACTGAGGCTAATCTGCCAAGGATTAGTAAACCATCCACACGAATCTCTCACTAATGCATTCACTCAGTAGCTAAGAGCTTGCTGCTTGTGGTGCTTGAGTCGGCTGGCTCTCTTCCCAGAGAGAAGCAGTACAGCAGAACTTGTTTATGAAAGAGGGCTCTGGGAAGGGGGGAGCCAATCCCCTGACAGCCGCTTGGCAGCCCAAGGGGCTTCCCAGCCTTCTCCCCTCCCCTAGGTGGGTCCTGGGTCTGGGCACTGGGCAGCCATTTGGGAGCAGAACTGGTCAGATGTCAGGATAGCAGAGAGCACAGAGGAGGTGTGGCTCCAAGTAGGCACAGGGCCGAGGCTTGCAGGGGCTGACCCGGGAGAGGGGAAGGGCTCCCATATTCCAAACTGAGAGATGGTGGCCAGATTGGCCCAAAGCCCTGGCTTCATCTCTACACATCTTCTGGTCCTACTTACTGAGGAGATAGGTTCCCTTTCCTTCCTTACAGGGGACACACTTCCCTTCAGGGTCTCCTAGTGCTTCGTTTCCAGTTCTACCAGCAAAAGGCCTTTTGCTTCTTCCCTCAGCTTCGATCTGGGCATGTAGACTCTCCCAACTTGCTCTTATTCCCTCCTCCAGCAGCAGCGTGTACAAACCTGGCTACTCCACTTGGGAGAATTACAGAAAAGTGAGCAGTACAAAAATCTGGCAAGGAAGCTAGAAAATATAAAAGTACCATGTTGTAAAGGGCATCTGCATTCTCCAGGAGATCTCTTGGCATAAAAGTAGAACTATTGTACATCTTATTTGATAACTCCGTAATTTGATAACTCAGTACTTGAAAGATGTCATGCTGCCAGGAAGTTCCTTCATAGGTTATTGTTTTGTATTTCTGAATGGATATGACTGATAACAGATGCATTTGCATTCTATAAAGAAAACATTACTGAGATATTTTACAACTATATTGATTTTTTCCCCCTCTGGCATCCATTCATTTTTTTGTTCATTCAACAAACACTGGAGTGGAAACAGAGTAGTGAACAACCCTCCAAGCCCCCCTGCATTTGTGGAGCTCAGGTTCTCTCTCACATTCTCTTGTACCAGGGCTGCACTCCTCTAACAAATGTGGATAACTCCAAAAGGGCTGCTTGGGAAGACACCTTCAAGGTCTAGACAAACCTTTTGTTTTCCAAATTTAAACTGAAATGCTGAGGAAGATGTCAGGCTTGTTCTACCAACTAGTAAATTACCATGGGGCGCACACTGGAACCCCAGCCCCTTCCCTCCTCTTGTGTGCTCTTTAGGGGCCCACTTGTTACCACCAGAGGACAGAAGCAGAGGGAGGTCCTGAGAAGTGACACGGACTCTGGTTGGGGGGGGCAAAACACTGTCTCCTTCCTGTCCCTGGCCTGTGAGCCTACACACAGGCAGGGCTTTCTTTTCTTGAAAAGAAACCCAGCCTCAACTGGCCTTAGCAGCAGGTTAGGGCAAAGACAGAGACAGGGTCGTGCTCAGCGCTGGTGGTGCTGATGGTGGTGGGAGGGAAGGGCAGGCCAGGGCACTCGCCTATTGTGGGTCTGGATTGGATGCTTCCACTCATTCATTTCCTTTTAATTAACCTGCATTCCTGGAGGAGAAATATTTATGTTGGCTCCCGTAGAGGCAATCTGCAGACTGGAAAGAAGGGGGAAGAAAGCCTGCCTTAGCAAAACAATATCTCTAAAGAGCTCAAGGATAGAAAATAAGAGAACAAAATGCCTTTAAAATAGCCTTCTACCCCCACTGGAGTCAATGAAAACTTCATTTCACATGCTAATCCCCCAGTCCGCCCCCCTCTCTTCTCACAACACCTTTTCCGAAAGTGTTTGGGAAAAGTCTTCACAGTCAGTACACAGCTCCCTGCAGCTCAGACTTCTCCTTGTGTTAGTTCAGGGCCCCAAGTGGGGCTCTAGCTCCAACAGCGGCTTTTTTCTCCCCCACTTTAATTTAAACAAAGACTTCAGAGTTCATCAACCTCCCACTGAAATTCACAGCTGCTGAACAAACTAATCCCCTCTCCCCGCCTTTCTTGCCTTCAATGGGCTCTTGGCTTCAAAGACACTTGGGGAAAGGACTCTGCTGGGGCTCACACTGCTTCCTCAATAGAAGTTAGTGCAAGTATTATCTGAAGAGCAAGTGGCTTTACAAACAAATACTGCCTAACAATCCCTTCCTCCCAAACACACACATCTAGCCTGCAGACGTGATGGGATCTACAACAGGATTAGAGATAGTACCCCCTGGCTTCACACCCAGCCCCTTTGTGCAGCTGAGCTCAGCCCTCAAGTGGTGTGGGGAAAACCCTGGAGCTGAATGTCAGGCATGGATGGAGACACACACACAGAGTAGAGTGGCCACAAATGCTGCAAGGAGAGAGCCTTGCAGTGTAATTCAGTGACACCCTCCTTTCTTCTCTCTTGACTCCCATCTGCCCCCAAGCCTCTCCTGTGCCTTCGTAGGGTGCAGTAAGCAAGGACAAAGAGGACTAGGAAGAGAGGTAAGGGTACACTAGAACCCAGAGGACACAATAATTGGGAGATGACTAAGGAAACCAAGTCAAAGCAGTTTTACTGCACATTAAGTACATAGTGCTCCAAATGCCGAGTCCAGCCGTGAAAGTGCAGACCTGAGACATGGGGGCTGAGGAAGAGAAGGGCCTCCAACCCTTGAGGAGCAGCACTAGAGAAGAGTCTTCAGTTAACATGGCTCCTATTCCTGAATTGGGCTTATAATCATGTAACAAATGTTCTAGGGCCTTGGCCGGGGCTCAGAGAGGGGCAATCAGGAGGCATTCTCTATAAGCAGTGGTCTCCTGCTCCTATTTCACAGTCCAAGCCAGCTCCCAATAAAAGGCAGTGCACCCCTTCCACCTAACCTAGCCTACCCTTAATAATGCTGGCAAATGAGAAGTTCCTTTTAAAAAGGCCCAAGTTGCTTCTCTCGGTTCTGCTCAGCACCCAACCCCATGAGTCATTCAAAGGATGAACAATGGTCAACTCTGCCCTAGCATCCAGGGCTCTGAGAAGTATGGACCTGGAAATATGAAGTCAGAGGCAAGGAGAATGGTAAGGTCAGGCTCACAACCCACAGAACGGGAAACACAAAAGACTCAAGATGGCTATGGCAGAGCTAGGCTTGGAAGTAACAATCCTGCTTAACCTCTCAGAAGCCACTTAAATAGAATATCCCTGGGGGAGAAGACACTCTTGCCCCACGTCCTGTTGGAGTACAGTATTAGGGAAAGTGAAAAAGTAGCTCTATGCTGGGCCTCAGAGGCTGACAAAGCCTTGGGGAAATCTTAGAAGGTCAGGAAAAAAGGGGTAAAAAGCAGGCCCCCTGCTGGTCTGCTGCCAAGCCTGTAGCATCATACATCTGGCAGGGAGGGAAAAGGGATGGGAAAAACATAATCCATTCCAAAAATCCCCTATTCTCAAGGAGGAGGTAAGTAACAGCGGGAGTAGCTTCCTGTCAAGAAAGGCCATCTGGTTTAGACGTGCAGCTTATGAGCAATGGGGAGGACAGCCTTCAGGGCAAGGAAGGAAGCTGGAGACCTCACTGAAGCTGCTGCAGCCCCCCGCCTGGGTGTGCACTGTGAGGCCTTGCTCAAAGCTTCCTGCGTCCACACTTCGGGCAACCTTGTGGAGCCCAGCCAGGACAGGGCGT